CATTTAGAATTTGAAAATTGGAGGCTTGAAGATTAGACAATTAAAATTCACATTTGAGTTATCGCATCGATCAAATCGACATAAGTGTTTACTAAGTAATGTAAAATTTAATATGCGTCAAATTGATGCGTTTCGTAAATCTAGTGTTAATAAGAAGTATGCAATGGCTAATAGTTTAGATGAGATTTCAAATTGGCATAAGAAGAGTTTTGCAAGATATCTTTCAACTGGGTTTTGTTACTGCAATCATAATACTGCTCCCTTTATAAGCGGATTAATTTCGCGATGAAGATAAAGATTAAAATGAATAAATATTAATATTATCATTCATTCTGTCCTCATGAACGTTTAGGATCTACAACAAACGTACTCGTACAATGGACATTTAATTTGTTTCCCCATTGCAAAATTATGAACAATACGGTAACTTTCACGAAACGATTCATAAAGCGAGAGGTTAAATAAGTGCATTTCGTATGTTCGTCAGGTAGCGCCGATTGTATCAATACGATCTTCCTTTCTTCCTCTTATTCTCTGTTATGGTACTTTGTGATAGCGTTGCACCTCTTCGTAAGTTTCACGATGTTCCGAGCGAATGGTTTTCGAGGCTCGCCGGCATACGTATACACGAGAGGCCCGATGAGACCGCGAAACGTGGCCTATTGAGACTGGCGAAACGTAATTGGGCCCACAAAAAATGGAGCGGAAACGCCCGGACCCCATTACAGGCCTCGTAACGAGTTCTCTCCGCGTTGCTCAATCCTCTCTGGCTGGTTTGAAGGGTTTGAGCCGCCTCGCCTTAATCCGCACCGTCACGATCTGTTCCCCGCACGATAAATACCAAACAGCTCCATTATTTTCGTGAATCGTGCAGATCAGGTGACAAGGAATTCCGTGTATTAATCGTTCACGCCGCGAAAGCACGGAGATTTGACAACTCAAACCCCGCTAAACCGCTAACTTACCACATAGCGTTACACTTTCTCGTAAATAGCTCTCAGCTGGTATTAATTACTTGCTTCCCTCGGGGTTTAATTATCGCAACGAAAGTAAATCGTGCAACGATAACGCGGCCCAGTCGCATACATTACGTTCGAATGCGCTTATCGGTAAATCGTACAGCGACTGGACGGAAGACACGCAAATATGTTATCTTTCTCATCCAGGCCCCCTTAACACGTTCGTTTCTATCGTTTGTCGTAGAAATCATTCGAATCGAATCGTGTCAACATCATTTCTACTCGATAAAACCGAGTTCCTTAACAGAATATTAAAGGCACACAGAAGAAAGTCCAATGAGTTATTTAAACGTTGCGCCACATGCTTTGCTCTTGGGTAACGAAATACATAAACTTTATACGGTACGCCAGTGAAGAACAAATAATCAAGCGTGTCACAAATATATGGAGTTCTGCAGAATTAAACGCGAATTACGAAGAAAAACCGTAGTTTAAACACTTTCGTGAATGATGTCTTCGTGAGAAATGAACTCACGTAAATCCAAATTCCAATGTCTCGAAAATTCTTAACACTAAACGCACGTTCCGTGATACACGCGCAATTTTTGTAAGGAAACATTTTTCGTGAGATGCGCGTCAAAGAATAGCGGTACACGCCAGGAAACAGCGAAAACGTAAAGAAATAATATCAAAATATACAAAAGTCACCGAAATCTTAAACGTTACTTAATATTTCATTCAAAAAATCAGTGCACTTTATAAGCAAAATATATCCAAAAGTTCCGATGGCACAGAACGTGTCAACACTAAATGTACTGCGACCGGTCAAATGACTGGTACTAAAATTTGATTAAAAATTCTGCATTTTCCTTCGTCCATTGAAGTTTATATCAATTCTCTTACTATCTGATTAATAAATTTGTCAGCTTCTGTCGTTCCTTTCGTTTGTGTTTTCACAAAGAAACTTTTATCGTCTAACTTGTTCACTTTTATTTTGTAACCAATTGTTTAACCGGTTACGGTAGGGATAGGTACATAGAAACTGCCGGCACGTTTAGCGTTAAAGAATATTCTCTATTTTCTGCTTACATATATGTATAAAATGATTTTCCGCTGGTGACAAAGGTGCATCGCACGGCGGGCGCAATGTATACGATTGTGGCTGATGAGGAGAATCGGGACGTCATAAATTTGATGATGCGAGACGCGTGGCAGGCGGACGTGTCGAGAGGGTCTTGTTCAACCGCGGAAAGTAATGGTTCCCAGCACGGGCGGGTGTCTCCTCCAATCGAGGCCTCGGTTTTTCATACGAGTGCTCGATCTTTTTCACCGCTCCGGCCCCGGTGCCGTGCCCTCCCTCGCCCTCGCCCCGGTGTCTCGCGCTTTAATTTCCAGCCTCGACATTTGCGTAACCCAGTTTCGCCATTGTTCGATTCAATGGTAGATCGTAACGTCCGCCATCCGGATAGAAGATTATAATGCCCGCGTGTACATGGTACTGCGCATCGTTGCACCGAGGTCTGTGCGAATGGAGAACCGCGCGGCGAACCGAAAGTGCATGTACATGAAATCGCGACGCGACGCGAGTGCACGCCGCGCAGAGGCGATAAGCGAGCGAGCGTCGTCCGCGATGCGGCTCGCGTAACCAAATTTACGAATTCCGCTAACTTTCTCCTCTTATCTTATCTTATCCCGACCTCGCGAACTCGCTGCACTAGTTCCCATTGTATCTTTATCCTCCTTTTTCTAACGCAAATGCCAGGCCTCGCCGGATTAGCTTGCTTTAAACCAGTGTTCGCGATGAGACGCGTTGATCGGGAAATGTTGATTTATTGCTTTCTGTTACGAAGGGATGTAGGTATTCGAATTATCTAGGTTTGGATATCTGTGTCGGAGATATTACGGAGGAAATAGTTTGAGGGAAAGAAGTGAATTAAAATTTAATTTTACTTTTTTTATGTAGAATCATGTTATTATTACTTTTTACTGATAGCTTTATTTTGAGTATTTAAAGACTGTTGAAGTGAGGCACTTGTTAAGTATACATATTTCTCAACATCGTCACATTATGAATACATATAGTAGCTATTAAAATTATATCAAATTTAAAAAAAATTGTTTTATTGTTTTGTACTATCGTTTTAATGAAACTTGTATTTTAAAGTGCCTATAGGATACATAGTTTAGTTTTTTTCGTGTCATAATTAATATAGAAGCTGTATTTTCTCGTCAAGAGATATTACTAATGTACAATTTTAACATAAAACCAAAGATCTAAATTGTAGAACGTATGCAATGACTGTTACACGAATTAATCATCATAGAAAAGTGACGCACCACAATAGGGTACATTAAAATTCATTATTAAAAGTTAGCTGTAACCTAAAATTTCAAATATTTAAACATCCCAATAGAAGGACAACTCGTTTATCGACCAATGAAATAACAGGGATTTCTACTTATCCAGCGACACATTTCGCGTCGAGTATCGTTACGCAAAGAGGGCGCAGCACCATCAAAGAGGAGGAGACGCCTCCGTCGGTAAAGCCGGTGAAGTCAGGCCCCGTTGTCCCCACTAGCGGAACAAACAGGCCGAGGTTTCTACATTTATCGATACAGGGCCTTGCTCCCACTAGGCTCGACCGGCATGAGACCCCGCCCGGCAGGTCTTCAAGGCCCAAATAGAAGAAGAAAGACGAACGTAAGCGTAAGCGTGAACGTAATGCAGCCGGTCGGCCGGCGATTGACCCTGAACTTCAGGCTGTGCTTGTTAACAGCAGTAACACCGACGCAGATGTATCAGCAACGATTTCCTTATACAGCGATTTTCTTAGCGAGAACCCGCTGGCAGATTATGTATGCAGCTCGAGTAATAATCCCAACGTTGTGCCATAATTCTGATTCAACGATCAATTCTTCCTACACCTTTCTTCGAACCATGGACTCCTCTTTTTTCTTCGAAATTTCCTGCAGACGTCCCTACCGGCATCGATTCTCAGAATCAGAAGATTATTCGTGTCACTTGTATCGATGAAATGGGAAATGGGATTGAGAAACTGATGTTAATTTAAAAAATGACGTTGCTTGGAGTTAACTACGAATTTCTCTTACCGTAGCTACTGTTATTACATACGCGAATTCTATAGTCGGATCAAAGTCAATTGGTCACTTAAGATCATCTCTCCAACCATGAATGACATCATAAACGGGTACTTCTATTACGGCCGTATTATGTATCCTGATTTTCTTTAAAGTAGTGGGTCAACATATTCGTACTCTCATTGTTGGGAGAAATTATCGCGGCGTTGGGAAATAGATGGCTGTTCGATGTTGTTACTTGTAAAACACTATAATGCATTTCGTAAATCACGACTGATCGCTTAAGGCCAACATGATATTCATTAAACATTTATTATTCAGAATTAATCTTTTAGAATGCTTTCACTTGCGAATTCACTTGTTTCGTCACTCGTGTCACGTTTTGGATACGCGCTGGCAATTGCTCTCATTTACCTATATGTATCATTGATAACCACTGATATAAATTATACAGCGATAATCACCATCTTTAAATATCAACGCCAAAGAATTGTTTTTGGCGATGGGTAATTATTAAATAAGTATTGAAGGTGCGACGGTAATTAATTGTCTTTTTCAAAAAATATTTGGCAACAAAATCAATTACACGAAAGTGCAACGTTATCGTGCTGTAATATTCAATTGTGTATGTGTATGTGATATTTCATAAATTGCTTTAGTATTGGCACGTAATGTTTGGCACAGCTCGTTCATGTGGTACGATATGCGTATGTTTTATTAAGAATTTGAAACAAAGTTTTCTTGCACGTACGCAGTCACCTTCTGCTGTTTTAATCTGTGGCCTAAAGCTTGTAAAACTGAAACTAATGGACTCTGCTTTTTTTATGTAAATTAATTTCAGTTATCATTTGCATCGAAACAATACTCATTATTAATCGTTTTCAATTCTGCTACATTTAATTTTGACCATAATATGAAAAACCAAATAAATTTTTGTTATAGAAAGCGGCCATTTATTTTCCATCGACCTGATATCAAAGAAAACCGTCTAACACCGTAATCTTCGATCTTCAATATGTCTCTCGTAAGATACCATTATTATTTTGTTTCTAAATATAGTTATAAGATTGGTAGTTGCGATACGATCTAAAGCCTAACAAGTGAAGAAAAAGCTTTACGTAACAACCAAGCCAATCACGTGGTCGGAAGCGATAGTGGGGAGAAGAAAGCTATTGACCTTGGATACGCCTAACTTTTGCTTCCCATAACAGGAGTGTCTATTGCTGTGAAGCAACTTTCGTAATTCAAAGCTATTTGCCTTTCTCTTTCACTCTTGTATCTTAACTTTTTCATCAACTCGAAGGTTCGCATTTACTACCTTTCATGCGAATATTCAGTTTGAGCAAACGTATTACGAGAAGAAGAGAGACTCAGAGTGTCGAAACCCTATACAGGCTATTCATAATTTGATGTGAACCGACTGTAAATAAATAGCAAGTTTTAAATATTCTTCTAAATAATTAACACGAAACATGAAACACGTAATTGTTACTCTCTTAACGGATTGGAGATAATATGCTATTTTACTTTACCCCTTGCCTTACAATAACGTGTGAGATTCGTGGTGAACATTTTAAATAGAATTGAACAAGCATGAATATTACTCAATTCCTGTGAATTCAAATTAAATATTATTCTTCTGTTATTAATTATTATATTGTAGGGCAAACATAGGCATAGAATACGTATAGAATTTTTCATTTTTTTCAATAAATTATGATTAACAAGGTTGTTGTATCGATCACAAATGAAAAATAAACCATAGGAAAAGTGGTTAATCCTTTTGTTCCACTCGTATTGTAACTACATTAATGATCTTTCTATTAAACTGTGATGGAATTAAAACCAAATTAACGAAATATACTAATTTATAAATACATTAAAGTATACAGAGAATGATTACATAAAATTTATTCACAAATATTTATTATCCAAAGAAATGCTGGTTATTATATATACATTTCGGATTAAAGTGATTCAAACACTGTATACAAACTATAATCCTTTACACTTCTGAAGTTTTTTATTAGAAATACTCAACATTCTCTGACAATATACACACGACGTTTAACGAGCAATGGCACGTAAACTAAGAAACAAAACTGTTTTATTTTAATATTTCACGTATTGATACATTATACAAAGCTTAATATTAAATATCAACTTATACAATTTTGCTATTTCAAATCCAGCAGTGACTGACAGATACTTATACACTGCAAAAGATTAGAATTAATATTTATACTTTTAATTTTAATTAGTAAATTAAATACAAAAATTTTTAATACCTCAAATAAATTATGAAATGATGTCAGCTTAATTTGGTAAAGATTGGATAAAAAAATAGTATAATTAGTTTGTGGACATTTGACTGCATAAAATACAATAAAATTATATAACCTTAAAATTTCATCAAATTTTCATATCATGTTTCAATACACCGAATGCCTTCACAAAAAACTAAATGTCTCATTGCTGTAGAGTCGAGGAAATTCGTTTTTAAAAACCTGAATTAACCCTGCAGAATAAATTCTTTAAATAAATGGGAACATCAAAGAAAGTAGCATTCGCGGCCGATTGCTTAGACAAATGGAATTCACGTCCTCTTCGTGACTTTTCCTCAAGGTCTTCCTTTCCAATTCGATCGAATCATTCATCGAAGGTTATATTGATGAGTATCTTGCTCTTGTATTACGCCGGTGTCATGCGATAATAGTTGCAACGATTCGCGGTTAGTTTTTACGCAGCTCAAAGAAATCTATATAATAAAATGGAAACTAAAAAGTCAACATTTCTGATTTCTCATTGATCATTATTTTAATATTTTTCTATCCCATAGATCCTACCAAAATTTGTTTCAGTCGATATATCTTTATACAAATAATTTTTGTACGAATAAAACTCTATTAAGTCACCGGTGACTCCCAACCAAATCGAATTATTATAATTCACTCAATTAAACGATGATTATTTGAAAACATTTCTACATTCTAAATAATGCTACCTAATGCGGTGACATTCAGCTAGATAAATGTACAATAATGATAATGCAGTTCTATCAAATAATTTAATATAATATTTTTTCCATACTCTGTATTTTGCTCTCTGAAATCATGCGGCATTCAACATGTTAAAAATATTAAACGTGACATTCGTTTTCAATATTAATCTACTATAAGCGATTGATCTCGTTAGGACACTTTGCATCCGCTCATCGCGATAATTTTCCTCGACTCAGCCTACAACTTCAGAGAGGGGAAAAAAGGGAGCGAAAGTTTCGCTCGCGTTCATGAGTCCCGATCATGAAACTCATTGTGCCTGGAACACGTTTGACATTGCGGAACGCGTCGATGCTTACGGCATTGGTTTCATAATATTAATTATACTTCTGCTCCTTGGGAGTACAGCGTGAAATCAAACTTTCTCTCTCGCGGTCTCCCTTGGAGACACGAAGAAACGGCGCGCGGCGCTCGATCAGCCGTTCAATTCACGATCGCTGCAGTATCGGATGTCAAATTTATTAAAACGGTAAAAGCGAGCCCGGCAGAAATGCTCTCTCTATTTGTCGTTACGTCATCAGCGCTTATTGGGCGACGCGTGCACAGGGATTTGTTATAAATAAATCATATCTGTGCGGCGTGTATAATTTGTTACGACGTTTCGAACAAATGCATAATTTATCCCACGACAGTCGCGTTACTGCGTTATTTTCTAATCGCGAATTAAATTGCACCGGCGGTTACATGACTCATGGCTGCCAGCCGGCCGATCTTCGACGTTTTACTTCTCCAAGAGGAAGTTTCTCGAAGAATTACCGCGATCCGACAGGATTTTCCCTACCGACGAGGGAATTAATGAGCAAGATCGCGGACTCTTTTATTGTTACGACCGAGACGCGATTCTATTATGTTTATCGATGCACTGTTACTCACGAACAATTACGACGGTGGCCAAGCGCAGTTGATTTCTCTTCCCAGAAAGATAAAAATTCATCATTTCATTTTTCCGAGTAATGAACTTAATTTCAACTGCTGGAATAATTGCCAGGTTGGCGCATCGTTTTCTTGGAACTTGATCTTTTCAGATAGGACGCGAGTTATATAATATTTCTATGTTAATGGGGAACAAATTGCGAACCATAGTAGGACTATAGTCCACGTACAAGTTCTGCTTGGAAGATAAGAATAACCTTTTTAAGTAAACTTTAATCTTCTTAAATAGTTTTAAATTTCATTTTATGGAATTAGTTCATCGTAAAACATGAAAGTTCAATTTACAAATTCGTATAACTTCAGTGAAACTTTAAAAGAAGGAATATTTCACTTTGAATTTTCTGAAACGTGTATGCTAGGATGTAGGTCTGCATAATTCTCTTCCGAGCACTCGTGTAAGAGTGAATTTCACGACTGAACAGTTTTGCCTTTTAATTACATAGATGAGCTATCATTAGACAGAATTCAAGTCCTTAGCAGAAAGCTAAGCGAATGTCAGAGAAACGTGAGAAACATAATCTTGCGACACGTCACCGCCTTCCGCCGTTTCTAACAGAGGCGGGGCACGGAAGGATGAAATTAGTGTAACGAAGCTGTCTTTGCATGACGCGAACCGACAAGACCGCATTATTGGGTTAAGGACGTCACACATATTTCACTTATTTCGCTTTCCGTTGCGACAGAATTGCTCGCGGAAATCTGGCCGCACATTTTTCCACTATTACTAAACCGATAAGAAAGTTTATATCAATTCAACAACGTACAGCAATGCCTCACTAGTTATGAATAACTTACTATTACGATCTACCTTATTCTGCTCAACTGTATCATCTCGTTTTTACTTTCTAGACAGATATAGCGTATAACTGTAAATTACCCTTTTATCCACGTTTCTACTATTAACTAAATATTATTTACTAATTAGTAACTAAAATATATGTTTCATTTTTCCAGACGATGTATACTGACGGTCTCCTGACACTTCATTATGGGAAGCATCCAGCGACCTTGGCCGCGGAGGTCGGCGCCTGGTATACCGGGGACCGTCACGTGGACGTGACGTTGGCTTGCGACGATGGGTCCGTTGTTAAGGCCCACCGCGTTGTTTTAGCAGCAGCTAGTCCTCTCTTGGCTGGTCTCCTTCGCAACCCCGCCTTGGATCACGTGGTCCACTTGTCTGGGGTTCGAAAAACCCAGCTGACTCATTTGCTGGAATTTCTCTACAACGGAGAAGCTCTCATACCGGTAAGATCAGACAGTCCGATGAAGATTTCGATTCCAAGAATGTTTATTCCAAGATTACGAATCACATTTGTATCGTTTCAGTCGACGGAGCTGACACCGTTGAGGGAACTATTCGAACTTCTTCAAATCAAGTCAGAGTTGTTCGAACCGAATCAACCTCAAACCTCCAGCAACTCAGACCCCGAAAGGATACCCACCCCTCAGCCCTCGGAGGGTCAAGAAAGCTCGAGCTACGAGTCGCAGTACGACGGCAGGTTGGTAGAGCTCGCTTGGCGCGAAGGGTTCGTGAAATGTCACAATGATCAGCGAAGCAGATACTGCAATTTCCGAGATAGGAAACTATTAAGATTAATTCCTGGTTTCGTTTGATCTTTGCTCCGGCTGAAGGCGGGGGTTACGCAAGCAATCGATTCGCCTAATGTCATTCGTTCGCGCCTTTAACCCCTGCTTTCAACGTTTCTGCTCAAGTTCCCAGATACGACCGGCTGATACACCGCGGTCGGATAATTTGAAAATTGCCGGTAATCTGCTCCTCTGCGGAGACACTTATATCATCGTAAACTGACATTTCAGGCAGTCGAACAATCCCGCGGATTGCTGCTCGGTGCTCATAAAAACCGAGGGCTGCGAGGAGGAACCGGAAGTGGACGTGGAAGGCATTGAGGGGGAAGCGCTGCTCACGGAGAATAGGGAGAGCAGTATAGAACCGCCGAGGAGGAGGGATAGCTCTGACCCTGTGAATCTAAGTTTAAATTCTGGAACTTCCACTACTAGCGAAAGTTCTCATGACATTGTACCTAGGTACGAATTTATTTAAAAATCTTTGAATAATCCTTGAATAATTTAAATAATAAATATATGTAAGCCTATAGATCATACGTAGGTCGACTAATGAATTATTCCTACCTTTCTTTATGGTCAAATATTCCCAATGATTTATGATAATTGTTTCAAAACTAATACATCGCTCCATGACCAATTTTATGGTAGACAGCTCGATACATTTTATTCAGATATAGATAGTAATTTTTTATAATTTGTATACAATTAAACAATATGTATCTATATCAGTAGCATTTGAACACCCTTTTATAATATTAAATTGTACTTAGGATGACAATAAGTCAATTAATAAGTATTAATGTTTGTATTGCTTATTATATATTGTTGTTATTTATTTTATGAAATAGAAGTTAACTATTATATTCTGGTTATCAATATTTGACTTTAACAATGAATGTAAACTTATGTATATTATAATCTTTGTTCTCGTAGTTTATTGAAGATAATATTTTAATGAAGACAATTGCAGAAGAAATTGTAACGCAAACGTATTACTTTAGTGATTTCACTTACTAGTTTTATAACTAAATAGGACTAAAATTATTTTCACCGTTTTTTGTTATTTAAAATAAAAATTTTAAATTAAAGAGAGTAAAAGAGTAAAATTAAAGTAGGTAAATACTTATTTATCGACTTTTGCGTCTGTTGAAAAAAATCACATGACCTCATATAATTTTCTTTACCAGGCCAGAAAAACAGTTATTGGAAAGGCGAGAATCTCTAGAAGAAGTTGAAGAGAGGAGAAGACAACTGTCAGCTCGACTCGCATTAGGCTTAGAACCAGGAAAACGGAAACCAGAAGAAATACCTATCCCACCTGCGGAGGCGTATGTTGTCACTCCCCATCGGAAACGAAGGCCAGGCTTTCACAATGCACCCGCACAGAATCCGGCTTTTGTACCATTCAACCCTGGATTCGAGACGCCGAGGCGGCTGCAAGCGCCACATCCTCTCAGCGTCTCGGCACCACCATACCTGGTAAATTTTAGTGACATATAATAATTTTATAGCAGTACTGTTATATATTTTTATTGGTTGTCAGTAAATGTAAACATTTCAAAGGAAAATACGATATGGACTACTTACTGTTTTAATATGTGTGAACATTTACATTTATATTTAAATTAAACGAATAGATAATAACACTTTTTCGTAAAGTAGTAAATTGACATGATGTTTGTATCAATGAATATTGCTGCTTGAGTCAGGATTTATTATACATGTACATACATAAACTTAACATGGTATTTATACGTAAATTCGGGAAATTAAGAAGCATTAAATTAAAAGATTATATAATTTAAAAAGACAGATTTTCCTGGTAATGTTAGGCTTTTTATCAAAGTAGTTATGTATATACCTTGCAATCGAAAAACATTATTTCAAGATTTTCAGAGTTTAAAAGGTAATTTAAGCCTCATAAGTCTGAAACGATAATGCATTGTTTTGTATATATTATATTATCATAAATATTTTGAGATACAAGCGATTTATTACTTGTAACATAAAACTTCACACTGAAAATATTAACGTAAGCAGCAATACGCGTATCTTATTTCCTATTTATAAAACATCTGCATAAAAAAGTCCTGCACTCATGTTATCTCCACAATTTCAAATTTATTTTAAAATAATCGAACTATATTCAAATTAATTTTTAATACTAAAACTATCAGACGAGTCAAAATGACCGATTTCTGATTTTTTCTTTTTGCAATGATTAAAAAGGTAACAGATGTTTCTGTGAGGAATTATTAAAGAAACTGATTTAGAAATTCGAAAACTGAATTGTAAATCAATTAAAGTCTTAATAGAAACACTCTTAAAGTTTCTATAGAGGAATTTTAAAAACTCAATTCAACTATTAATTAGTGTTAATCATATCGACAAACCAATAATTCATATAATCAATCAAAACCAAATATCCTCTTCGTAAAAAAAAGAACTTTGTTCTTAGCGAGGTGAACTTTTTCGGTAAAAACAGTGTTAACCCTTTGCACTCGAAAGTTTTTCAATGGAAATATTCAACATTTCGTGACGAGATATAGGTCATATTGTTTGAAATTAATTTAACGATAATTTATAGATAAATTAAGCAACAGAGGTGATTTATTTAAATATTTCACGTAGCAATCCAAACTTCTATTTGAAATATTATAACTTCATAACTAATTAACTTCATAGTTTGGTTGTATCGAATCATGTGGTGACTGACAGTCACCTCTCGAGTGTAAAGAGTTAAGTATGTAAGCATACGAGAAAATCATTATTTGAACTACTGAAATTTTACCGTGCTGCGTTTCTTTTACAGCAGGATAGGTCGGTGACGCCTCCAGGAGCATCGCACCGGCCACCAAGTGCGGATCCAGCGTCGGCGGCGGGCTTGGAGCCACCTTGGGGTTCTTGGGCTTTGCCACCGGCAAGGGCTCCTCCCCCACCACCGTCGGACGATCCGCCGAAATCTACCCCCGTTCGTGAATACCGGTGCAGTTATTGTGGTAAACAGTTTGGCATGTCCTGGAACTTGAAGACTCATTTGAGAGTGCATACGGGCGAGAAACCGTTCGCGTGTAGACTCTGCGTAGCCATGTTCAAGCAGAAGGCCCACCTGTTGAAGCACCTTTGTTCGGTGCATAGGGGTGTGATAGCAGCGCCCGATAACACTTTCACATGTTGTTTCTGTTCGTTGAGTTTCGACAGTCTCCAAGAACTTATCAGGCATCTGTCAGGGCCGCATAACAATCTGCTGCTCAGCAAGAATCTACATGACTAGCGACAAGGTTAAGGCCAACCGGTGCCGAAGCTCGAACGCATCTCGACCGAACTCCGGTTCCGCGTCCCGATCACCGATTCGAGCTGCCTCGAATCGTAGTCTAGACCATAATGTTACGAGTGCCTTTTGAAATTCGAATTGCAACAAGCAAGCAAGCAAGCAAGCAAGCAAGCAAGCCATTTCCAGTATTCGCTCTTCGACGCAGCATTTCTCTTTGTTGCTTTTATCGTGTAATCGTTGGTCTGGATATTGATCTCGAGATGCGAAGGCATTTACATGTCCGTTAGAGAAAGTGTGTCTCCGAATATTTCTACCTGATCTCAAACGTTTCAGTAAAGGACGTTCGATTGAAGACACTTGGAAAATTTTCGGAGAGAGCGTCATGCTGCCGGATGTTGTTTCTTCGCGAAGAAAATTCACACGCTGAGTGGTATTTATTCGTCGCGGAAATTGAAGAAAAGAAATGTACCGAATTAGAATGTTTTATTTTTAAGGAGTACACGCGCAAGCGTCGCAGAAACAATTTCTTTTCTTCAAGAAGAAACAGCATGGTGTACCGGGAGGGCCTTCCACGAAAGCGTTAGATCGTTACCACGATTCTTCAGCCGGAGGTGATCCGAGGTCGATGCCAATGACCGATTTACCAGTCTATTGTAATAAGTGATGACCAGTAATTCTGACCAAATAACATATTTCCGTATGTTGACGGTCTCCCTGAGGAAACGTTACGAGACGGGAACAAGAGAAAAGTAAAACGCGTTACGGTAACGACGAAGCGAGATCGAGTTAATTGTCACGCGTCGGATTTCGTCGGGTCCGTGAAACTGGACTCGATACGCGCGCGCGCGTTCTCGTTGCGTCTTTGCTCACCGCGGCATTGCCTCTGAACGTTTCTCGTCCGCGTCACGTGACACTGACAAGAAGACGTCTCGTTTACCTCAAGCGCGCGCAACACACGCATACTCACACACATACACACAAAATCTCACATGTAAATAATATTAATGTTAATAGTAGGAAACAAAGCGGACGGATAACGATTTATTTATTTTACACTTTGCAAAGGGACCAACCGATTTTCCACCGACTTCTGTCTTAGGTAGATATTAGGTGACCTGCCCATCAATCACCTCGAATCAATTTCGCTCGTTGGAGAGCCGAACGGTGTTAAAATTACCGCGCGGAATGTATTCGATCGGTAGCCCGACGAAAATCGAAAGACAAATCTATTGGTGTTTTCCTGTAAATCCCACGAAGAGAGGAACATTATCGGCGAATCGCGGTTCTAGGAGAAAAGGTGGCGATCATTTTTCTTTTTCCAAACTGGGTCGATGCTGTTCACCGGAACAGTCGTACGGACGTTGACAATGTTCTTCCAAGTAAAATCCTCGTCTTCCATTTTATCAGTCTAATCCCTTTTTCTCTTCTGCATCAGCCTTCCAACCACCTCACCGCGTCAGTTCAGTAATTTCGATTTGGTGTAAAACATCTTTGGTATCTCAGCGACTCGAGTGCCTTGTCAAATGGGTCCAAATTGGTCGATTGGGCAGTGATTTCATGTGTTCATAGGCTTAAGATACGTACACGTGTAAGATGACGATACGAGCTCGCTTAGGAATTGAAGGAAACGTTAATCAATTCACGTAGAATGTCTTTAAATATTACTCGAATTAATTCAAGTTTCGTTAGGGTCTAGATAGAGAACATTTTTAAGTAGTAGCTTCTTGTTTCTTTAATTCCTCTTTTATTTTTTTTTCTTTCGTTGACGCAGGACGTCATTTCTCTTTTTTAGGTAGGTATTATTACCTAAGGTGCCTTGAAGAAGGGCCTCAGCCTCTTTTTAACTCCTCGACCGTGAAAAAAAAGCATCGGAAACAAAGGGTTTCAAAGGAGCCCTACTTTTATAGGTTATGTTACATTCCACCCGGACATCCCTGTAGATGCGAAATTGCTGAAACGATCCATTCGAAAGAATTCGGTAAACGCGAATATCTGACGAACGCTAGCGAACACAGTACCTTCCCGATTAATTTCTCCCCTTCCTTTCTCGTAGCAAATTTTCCGTCTTGAAATGGTAACGGAGGCAATACATGCTGTATCGTATACGCGCGCGGACGCGAGAAGGATGGTAAAAAGAGGTTCGAGGGGTGGTGTGCGCTCTCATTAAGCCAGACAAAAAACGGCCAGCACAAAACAGTGAACGCAATGTGATACTAAATGATAATAAAGATAAAGTAATTATTATTTAGCGTGCGACGCCTCGGCGCATGGCACGAGCGCAATCCGCGGCTTTGTCAGGAAAAGGGAGGAAACCGTGGCGACCGCGAGCGGAGAATTCGTCGGGTCCGATCCTTTTTTCTGCGAGCTGCCTAAATAATTTTTAGTGACCAACGTTTCTTCGTTTCTCTCTTTTTTCAACCCTTTCTCCTAGAAATCCCCGATCCAACCCCCTCGTCCCCTCTTCTGGAGTCGTAAGTGCACTAGGGTTACGTATACAGATTATTTTATCGTTAATTAGTTACGTTTATTGCGTATGCATACACGCGCTCGCGGCCAGATGTCGGAGACGGAAGGCAGTCGTCTTTCGAAATATATATGTGGAAATAAAAATGATTTTCTCGAACGGACCTGCGGTTCAATTGTTACTCTCGACAGAATCGAACGGAGGAAATTCGTGTACGAAGAGAATATAAAATATATATGTATATATATATTTGGTTATATATACATATACATATATATATTTCTTTGACGAGCATACACACGCAACAGTTATCGTTTCTCGCGGATCTAATGGCCCATAGGCCTATAGTATGCTTCTCAGTAACGATGCAAAATGCTAGAGAACGTAGAAGAAAATTTCTTTTCCTTTTCTATTAGGTAAATTATAGTGAGCGACGAAGTTTTGTTCGATATGTGCTTTAAAGTGAACAAATTATGGATTCTGAAGCACGATGTGAACACGCTCGATCGCCTGTGAGATGTTTTAGACGTGATATCGAATTATTTCTAAATTCTAAAATGGAGTTCTATGTTTCTTTCGAATAGAAAAGTACTTGTCCTTCGTTGTCATCGTGCATTTTCTTTTTGTTTCTGTACGTTGTCGTTTAAATACGTTCTGTCCTTCGGACATTTGGCCAGAGTTATGTAGATTTTAAGCATCTTCCGAGCGGAGACCGTTTCCGCGTGCTTTCTTAGTGTTCATAGGTTTACAAAAAATAAATTAATTCAAACAAGATACACGCGAGCAATAACGAATCTGCTGCCTGAAACAACATATGCCGTGGCCGTATTCCTTTCCTTTTTCTTGCTTGGCAAGTTTCCCTCTCTTTAAGTAGTTAATTAATACAAACTCGAGAGACGTTTGCAACAGAAATATTGATATAGGAGAATTTATTATTGCGGTGATCGCTCGTTTCTCATTTGCATAAAAATGTAAGAATTTTGGTTCAAAATGTTTGAACGATAATAGTTTCACTTTCTTTGCTTACTGTGCGCTAAATAATTCCATAAGCATTAAAAGCAAATAACAATTTAATTCAGTTGAAAGATATGTCTGCAAGATCTGACGGATATATTGCTTTATTTTACTTCCTGGATAATTACAGATATATAGTATTTATAACTAAACTGTGGATAATTATGCAAATATAAATTTGTAAGGTTTTGTTTATGAATATAGAGAGCAGAAGAAGAATCTTGTTAGTTTATCGAATATTTCATTAAAAAATTGAAATAAAAATGCAGTATGTTAAATAACAATGAGTACTATAAATATATAAAATATGCAGTCTGTTTACTGTATTTTATTTTTTTATTCCGAAATGTGATACTGAATCGATTAAGTTGTCAACAGTAACATTCAGTATTAAGAACTTCAATAATTTCCAGTAACTTTCTGTCATTTGCATTTTTATATATGGTTATTAAAAGTTTTAACATATACACAGAGTTTTGAGTTAGCAGGTAAAAATTATCCTGAAGAAAGCATATATTTCGACATAAATACAAGAATAAAGTAGTAAACACCTAAAATTCGTTAAGCATCTTTTAGAATTAAACTTAACAAATGGAAAATTTTAGCTTGTAATGATGTAATATATTTTTTATTGTGCTAATAGGTACAATGAAGGAACAAAAAACACTAATCGGTATAAAAATTAAATGTACATATTAAAAAACGGTTGAGAAACGTTAAAAGATTGTTAATTAAACAATGCAGCAATGAATTCAAACGTTTAAATTAAATTTATTACGTAACGCAAAGAATTAATCTAGTAAAAAAATTACGTAGTATTAATTTGTTAACTTGAGTATTTACGTCACTTTGTCAATTTATTATTATATACAAATTCATAAAAATTATTTTGTTATTTAAAAAATTACATTAATAATTAAGTTTAACATGACCAACAAAAGGATTAAACCAATTACAATTCCTTACATTTTTTACGTAGAAGAAAAATGTCATATAAGTGAAGATATTGCCAGCATTTTATGGATTTAAAGTATCAAGACAAATTTTTTTGCAATATTTAAAATATTTCTATCTCATCAATGTCTACAACAGGATTCGGTTATACCACATATAAATTTTACGTAGTCATTAGTTCAATTTAACGAGATTTCATTGCTATTTTGTGAGGTAAGTAAATTTTAATGTATAAACTGTAATAAAATAGAGAGACCTGAAATGGTTATTAAACTGACTAATTTATTTTTGATTTTATGGAACTCTTGATACAAATTTTTGCTTAAATCTCGATTTCAAAAGGTATCTAGACCACGAACACTAGAATTTGCATAAATGTCTACAGTTTAATAAAAACATACCAATTATTTAATCATTAATTACAAACTATTACTTGTCTTTTAACGTCTTTCATTATACTTGCACATAGTAAAATATCAGTCTTTTAATTTATCACACACTAAGCGAACGAATAAAATTAAAATTACTTTTGAAACCATTAGACAACCGAATTAAAAAGTGTTTAAATGGTCGTAGAGAATTCAGTTTAGTTCAAAGAATCTTAACATTTAAAAGACCCCTCACGAGATATTTCAATTGTATTTTTCTTGCACAGTTAGTTACTAAAAACTGTTATATTACAAAACTAATAGCTGATCTATTCAATAACTTCATAAATTTTTGTATTTCCTCAATTCATTTCACATTTTTAAGCCAGGAAAAGGTATCAGAACTATGCAACCATTTAAGTGGTCAGAATCCTTGACAATATTATCAGGGAATAAACTAAAGATCATGGAAACTATCAGTGATTCAAGAATTCCGGATGAGCAGCGTTCTCCTGTAACCGTTGTTCGTTTCTGTACTTAATGAAGTGTAGCAGGCCGAAGTGTCTACTTGAAGCTAACGGTTCGATATCTTCGACGATTTCATACAAAAAGAAAACCGTGACAGGGAACCCGTTACCGGTGATCTACGTTTCAGAGCGGCGGTGTATGCTAAGCGCTTCGACGACAGTATCGATTGCATAATTGCAACGCGATAAGTAATAGTCAGTTCTTGTTTTACTCCACAGAGAACTCGGACACATTTGCCATCTACCTGTTTCATTTGTGATCATAAATACTTGCTTGCTAAAGGTCGAGGTTGCTGAAACCGGCTTCATGAATGGCTACAGGAAGAGGAATAATGCCATCAAAGGTGTGAGTTTCACAATCGTGCATTCCAAGATGGCCGGTGTGATGCACTATAATTCCACCTGTCGTAAACAAACCTTCGGAAACCAGATTTGAAGCTAGGATTACATTCAAAAGGACATAATCCATTTGAGGCTGAATATATTTCTTCGGCTACATGGAATTAGAAATTTTGGGGACGATGAGGGGACAGAACTGTTTGAACCAGGAAATAAGTACATTTTTCGGATATTTTGACAGTGTAGTGTTTTGATAAAGATTTTTTTTAATTCATGTAAAATTATAGAAATGTAGTAGAAAGTTAATGCCAAACAATTTTTTTTCAATACGAATTTTTAAGGAATTTTTTCATGAGAGCATTTGCCTGTACGAGTGGTTTCATTTTAGAAATATAGATTATATATGAAAATAAAAAGAAAGGAAGGTTATTTTTGTTTGTCGTGCTGAGATTGTTATGACGAGAAAAATCATTTTGAGAAAAATGCGTTTAAAAAAAACTTTGGCTGTCGAGATACCTATACCGTTTTGTTCAAAATATCATAACATTATCAACTTTTTAAATTTTCTTTTAAGATTGTTTTACGACGGGTTTAGATTATTAGATTATGAAAACATGAAAAAGATTTAACGGTTTGATCTTTTTCAACAGTTGACTCCTTTTAAGATTGTCTTATATTGTTTTTTAGAAAATGTATTAACATAAAATAATATTACTTACGGTACCTATTGGATTACCATATTCGAATATTTGTAAACCTTTTAATACAATTTGAATTTTTTAAGAATTTATTCATTTATATTTCTGATACAGAAATTATTTATGCAATGCAAATAAGAATCCACTTTGCCAATTTATTGTGACAAAAAGAAAATCAAATTTACTTTGAATAATCAGGAAAAAAAATTACAGATGTGCAAAAAATCATTTAAATTATTTTATTACATAATAATAATGTAATTCATTATTATTATTATTCTTTCATTATTAT